AAAGAAGCCCTGCCATCACCCTTGATGCCCACGAAAGCAGGGCCACGGTGGAGATTAACATTCTGAACAGAAATAAGGTGGAGAAGGGACATAAACACCGACTAGATAATTTTGAACATGAAACCCAATCTTCTGCTCTGACAGAACATAACAGATGAGCCCCAAACCAAGCTTCCAAAACCTAAAAGCGTTAGATACAGCTATCTGCAGATATGCAGCAAACATGCTTGGTGTTGGGGAAAGTTTGGCTCTCAACGAACAGCCGTTCAGCTGATCTGGAAATGAAGGGGGGACTTACACTCAAACGTCAGGCTGTTGCTATTCTTAGAGCTCAACTAGAGGACAGACGTAGTGGGTGAAACCCCACTCTTGATGTGGTGGGATGAAAACCATGTTTGCCCGTTGTTATCGTCATCATAGTTCAATAAACCATTCATTTTTGTGTGTGGTAAATCACAATGATGACACGCTCACAAAATAATGCGAAGCATATGGGTCACAACTGTTTTTAAGTAGAAAGTTCTCTAAAGATTTATTTAAGTTCCTTAATTATAGAGTGGTTGGGAAGACTGGCATGTGGTTTCAGTTTAGTTATAAATGTTGGCCGTGGTGATGGGCATGTGCTAACGTTGCCAGAGAGAAAGAGAACAAGATTGGGAGGGGAGCTGGTGTCTTTCAGGACCTGCCTGCCCCTTTGTCATTTTTAAGTGAAGTCAAGATCTTTCGTGTTTATACGAAATAAGTATGATGACATTTATGCTCTGCTTGAGATGCGTGAGCCAGTAGTCCAGGCCAATTTTCCCAGTGCTTAAATACTTTAATTGGTAAATTTTCATGGCAGTTTGAAATCAGGGACTCTCCAGAGTCCTGACAGAATAACTATCCCTTTTAGCCTTTATCTTAAATTAAAATATACTCCTCATTAGATCAATCAAGCCCAGTTTGGGGAACAGCAGTTAAGTATTCTGTCTAGATAGACAAGTGGAAAGTAAGTGTTCAAGCTAGGTGTCTCTTTGACTTGAAATAAACCCGTGCCAGGGTCATTTGGTGATCTTCTGAACCCTCGTGTGTGTGTGTCCACATATATATGTGCACGCACAATCGTATGTGGTTATTCACATTAGCAGTCATTTTGCATCCTTTGGGATCTGGTAATAGTGTAATATATAAAGCTAACTTGCAGTCTTAGGAGCATGGGAAAAGGCCTGTGTTAACCCATGAAGAGGTCGGCAAATGTGTGTGGTTGGAAAAGTTCATTTGTATATTTGCCGTAACATGCTTTCCTCTGTTTCCTGCCCATGATGAAAATGACAGCAGCATCACTGAGCTCTTGTCTGGAGGTGGGAGGAGTGGGAGGGAGGAAGGCTAATAAGGAATCTAAGTAAAGCTCTCCTTCCCCTTATGAAGGTCACAGAAGACATGGCTTTCCTGTTCACCACCCTTTACGGAGTGCAGTCCAGTAGGGACTTTGTCAGTACTTGAGAGGATCCACTCATTCATTCATTCGTATTTTGGTATAGACGATGTCTTACGTTCATATCTCTGTGGGATGCACAAAGATTAATTACACAGCAAGGCTGTGCCCCCAGGAGCTTACACTCTGGTAAGGGATCAGAAGATGTCTGCATAACTAATTATGATACAGAAGGACATTGGACATTTATTCAGGACTCGATCACTTTTAAAGTGCTTTCATACAGGTATACTTAATCCTCTAAGTGGAAGTACGTGGCTACATTTTTAATTTTGTACCTGAAGAAAATTCAGCCAGGGTGAGGGACTTGCTCGGGGTCCTGTAGGTGTTAAGTTGGGGGTATGGGGCCCAGGGAACCCTGTCCATCCAGGATGCCTCTGCCTCTGGGATTCACTGTTTTGTCCGTTGTCCCAGTATGCAGTGGTGCAGAGGGGGATGCTTGCTTCCTCCTCGGGGATTCAGAGAACACTAGAGAAGGATGAGGCCACTGAGCGACCTAGGCACTGTTCGACCTTGGCACACAGCAAGGCACTGGTTACTTAGGGGATGGCTGAAGGGATCTGAGGGTGAGGAAGACATGCTGGACGGAAATAGATCAGTGTACATTGTTCACATAAGCAAGCTAAAGCAACATGTTACTCGAAAAAGTCCCTTTCTTGCCTTTTCTTTATATGTTCATTCGACAAATGACTATATTTATGTGCAAGGCTTTGGTTGGAGTCATTGATGTGACGGTTACAAATAAGGCTTGTGGTGACTCTCTTTGGGGGCTCACATTGGTCCAGCCAGAGGATAAGGTCACAGATAATCGTAAGAGGATGTGAGGAGAGGGGAAGAATGTGATACACAGGATTTCTGGGTTCAGGTTATGACTGTCCTGGTCTTGGACATGTCATGTCACCTCTCAGTCTCATTGGATCCTTTTTCTTTAAGGATGCAAGTAGCATTCACTTCACAGAGCTACTGTAAGGATGAAATCTGATTATGAATAGGACACTTCATTCAGCTCCTGGCACATTGAAGGTGCTCAGTACGTTGTCATTATTAATGGCACCACACATTTCCTGAAGAGAAGCCAAAGTCTGGTTGGCTGAATTGACGCTCTTCCTGTATCCCAGCCCTTCCCCAGGCTCATTGCCTCTCTTACATGCCGTGCTCTGGCCCTGTGATCTCCGTCCAGAGCACGGAGGTGGTGTGTCCCACTGGTCAAGAGCACACTGCCAGTGTGACCTTGGCAAGTTCTGTCTTCACTTTTTGCCACAATTTCATCATCTGAAAATGGGATTAATAATAATTTATTCGTAGTAGTTTTGTTGTGAGATTTAAAATGATTAAATATGGGGGCTTCCCTGGTGGCACAGTGGTTGGGAATCTGCCTGCCAATGCAGGAGGGGACATGGGTTTGAGCCCTGGTCCGGGAAGATCCCACATGCCGCGGAGCAACTAAGCTCATGTGCCACAACCACTGAGCCTGTGCTCTAGAGCCCGCGTGCCACAACTACTGAAACCCGTGTGCCTAGAGCCCGTGCTCTGCAACAAGAGAAGCCACCGCAGTGAGAAGTCTGCGCACCGCAATGAAGAGTGGCCCCCGCTCGCTGCAACTAGAGAAAGCCCGCGCGTAGCAATGAAGACGCAACGCAGCCAAAAATAAAAAAAAATTAATTAAATAAATAAATTTAAAAAATGATTAAATATGAAGGGCCTGGGGGCCATGCTGGTACAGGGTAAATGCTGCTATTTTTAGCTCTAATTATTCTCTGATTACTATGTGATCCTGTCCTTCTGTTGCTTACATTGCCTCTGGGTGGCTCCCGATCATCTCTGTTCTCCTGATTTGGAGTCTGCCCATCTCTCTAGCGCATCACTCCTCAGGCTTTGCCTTTCAGCAGCTCGCAACTGCTTACCCTACCTCCTAGGATATTTGGCCTTTGTTTTTTTCCAAATCTGCAAAAACAAGGAAATTATTTTAGTTCCAGTTATCATACAATTCAGGTGTAAGGCATGTAAAAATGAAAGGTCTGTGAATCTTGATAATACTAAAGTGGTTTGAGTTTAAAAACTTAAAGTTTAGAAAATCAGTCTCATTATGAAATTCTAAATAGAGCATTAAGTTTTAAAAATTTATCTCTTTCCATTTATTTCTGGAAATCCTTGGCAATCTAATGGTGATAAAATTTTCTCTAAAATCCCATGCAATTTAAAAAAATCTAGATGTCTTTTCCACAATTATTCATTCCCTCCACTTTACAGTTTTAGACTGAGGTAATGGTTCTGTAAAGAAGTCATATTGATTAGCTTGAAGTCAATTTCTAACCTATTCCAGCTCTCCAGCTTCCTTAGACCATTTTGTGGGTTTGGTTTGGTTTTGTGTTTTCTTTTTTCCCATTTTGTGGAAGATGTTCATGTCTTCTTTCACATTTCAGATTGGATAATTCAGACCTTTTTATCGTTACTTTTTTTTTTTTTTTTTTTTGCCGTACGCGGGCCTCTCACTGCTGTGGCCTCTCCCGTTGCCGAGCACAGGCTCCGCACGCGCAGGCTCAGCGGCCATGGCTCACGGGCCCAGCCGCTCCGCGGCATGTGGGATCTTCCCGGACCAGGGCACGAACCCGTGTCCCCTGCATCGGCAGGCGGACTCTCAACCACTGCGCCACCAGGGAAGCCCGCTAATGAATTCTTTAGGGCTGTTTTTCTACCTCTTAAGATACTCCTACTCCACACCCCTACCCCCTTGAGGTCTGGTTCTGCAATGTTTTGCACATATCCTTTTCCTTGCACTTAACATATTTTCTATTTTGTATCTCTCTCCCCTGCATTCCTAGTGTGTTCTTCACATAAGGTAGACTCAATAAGTACTTGTTAATAAATGAATTAGAAGAGGAGCTTTCCTCTTTTAAGTACAGTATCATATTGTCCCAATTATTTTTCAGTTAGTTAGAGGGAGCAAAATTTACCTTGTTAGTAAATTTTGAGGAGGGGAAGGTCAACATGAGGACTTTCTTGATAGGGGGCCCTTTGTCATCATAGAGCACACAGGACTGGACAAGAACCATGGCAAACCTATAGTACCACCTGCCTCTGGTGGACCTTACAGTTTCAACCATCTTGTTTGTGAAGGCAGTAGTTCTGTGTTTAGCTTAGTGATGGTAACATCAGCTATTTGGTATTTGATAACATTTTTCTAATGTTTGAAAAAATTTTTTTCTCATTGTTTCGAAACTCCAGTGTATTGTCCTGGAAATAGCAACATTATCCAGTTGTGGACATGTACTCTATATCTTTAGAGTACAGTACATCAGTACCATTTCAGTTAAGAGAGAATGCATAGGAGAAGGTAACACCGGCCACAAAGAATGGATAGCTTTATTTATTTACTTCAAGAATTTGAAGGAAATAAAATGTGATATCTCAGCTTTCTATCTAAAGTGTATCAGTGACCCTTTAAAGAGCCTGTAGTTAGTTATATCTGATAAACACGTAATAATGAGCTGAATTTTAAGGACTTTTTCCCTATTATCTCCTGCAGCTTTGCCCTTTCAGATGAAGCATACAGATCCCTAAGAGATCAAGATAAAGACCAATGTATTCTGATTACTGGGGAAAGCGGAGCAGGAAAAACAGGTAAGGCCACTGGACAACCTTACTTTCTCCTATAGAAGGGTAAACGCTGCACAGAATGACGATGGCAGAGCGGGTGGGTGGAGCCTTATTAGCATGAAGCTCACAGGACTCATGCTAGGAAGGCTAGTGATTAGGATCCTGGAATGTTCTCCGGGAAGACTTGCCTCATCTCTCACATGAAGGAGCAGGCACCTATCAAAAGGGTTCCAACCAATGTGGGAGTCTCTTTCTGGATTCTAGACCTTTCTGTTGCAGTTCCTGCGTACTTCAAGGTCTTTTACCTTCCCTCCAAGACACCAAGGTCTAGTGCGAGGTCTCACCACTTCCCTAAGAAATGCCAGACTGTTTGGGTTTGGAGATCCCACAACCACAGACTATCTCTCTGCTAAAAAGTGAGGGAGGGCACCAGGAACATACTGGATTTCACTGTAGAAAAGTCTTCCTCTGAAGCCTGAAGAATTGAGATTTTTGTACACATTTTTAGACAGGCTGGCAACCTCCCCATAAAACAACCCCTCAAATGGGGAGGGAGTGTGCTTTTTTTTTCTTGTGCTTTTAATAAAAGCAATCTGTGTGATTGTCTTGAGTGAGAAAGTGATTTTACACATGGTGCCCAGCTACCTGGAAGACGTTCAAAAGAGCTGTGATCTCTGAGTCCAAACTTGGACAGGTTAGAACTGCTGTTGTCAGTAGGTTTCTTTGATGGAACTGATGAGTCCGTGAAAGAGGAGGATAGTATTTTCATAACTGGTTCATCTGTAAGATGTTCTTGTTTTATAGATGAGACTCTGATCATTGGTAATTTCTGCTAGTTTGCCAAAGTGGGATTTAAATGCTTCAACTTTACTTGGCTATTTAATTATCAGATTAATAACTTTGATTTCCTGATGCTCAAGAGAAGAAAATCCCCCGTGGATATTTCAGTCAACTGACTGAATCCATTTTGTTCATTAGCCCTTAGTTAGATTTGTGTCTTTAAAGTCTCCCTATCTGCACTGAAATGGCTTTTCTTTCTATACCTATTTCTTCCTCCACTTTCTTAAGGAGTACCTCTTCCCTACCCCTCAAAGTAGCTGGAGAAAGAATGGCTAGATAAGATGTGTCCAGCTCCCTTCCCAGAGCCTTTGGAGACATAGTGCACTGTTCCTTTGCAAGGTTGTGCAGGTTCTAGGCTCTGGATGGGCAGAAATGGAGGGGAAAAGAGTGGCATGTAAGAATCTAAGGTAACAGAAAGCACAGACTCATATAATTGGAAGGGATCTTAGTTATAGACCATTTAGTGCAGGGTCCTCCCCAGGGACAGCCGAACTCCTTTTGTAGTGATGCAGGGCTCACTGCTTTGTAAGGTGGCCTATGGACTTTGTCACACAGGTTTGGGAACAAAAGTTCTTCCTTACCTAGAGGTGAATTCTGCCTCTATGTATTCGTCTTAACTCTGCAGTCTGGGACCTTACCAAATTAGTCTACTTTCTCTCCTACAGGACAATCACTTAATTCTTTGAAGTCATCCATCAAAGCTTCCTAGGGCTAAAAATCCCTTTTCTTTAAAAATTTCTCATGTGATACACATTCATTTATTCATTCATCTAGGAAATAATTCCTGAGTACCTACTAGGTGAAAGGTACTGCAGTAGGTACCAGTGATACATTGGTGAGCCAGACACCATTCCTGTCCTTGTCAAGTTTATAGTGTAGTACAGGAGATAAACAATAGCTCTACACTATATATGTACATACATCTAAATGTATACAGGTCTACATACAATTTATATACAGAACATTAAGTGTAGTGAAGTGAGGTGTACACTTGTAAGGGTGCGTATACGAACATGTAACAGGAGGATTGAATCTCGTTCCCAAATTCCTCACTGTCATGGTCATATTATTCCAGAGTCTTCCCAGTTTGTCAATATGCTTTATAAAATTGCATCCCAAGAAGTAAACAGAATACTTCAAATTTGCTCCTGGTTATTGTGAAACTATTGCCCTCTTAACGTGGATACGAGACCTCTATTCATGTGGTACATGTATTGACTCATATTGGTCTTTTCATCGAGCAAGGTGTTATAGGTTTCTTGTATATTAACTTCTGTTTGGTCAGATTTTCTCAGTTGGGTATTGTTCAACAAAATTATTTTAAGCCTACATGTAGAATCTTTTGTTTATGATTCTGTTCCCTCCCATAGAACCACTGCCATGCCATTGGGAAATAATAATAGTAGCTAACTTACATGAGCACTTACCATGTGTTGGGCATTGTGGTTAGCATATTGCACGTATGAGATAAGTATTCTTATCCCCATTTTTATGATGGAGAAATTGAGCCACAGAAAGGTTAAACAACTTGCTTAAACTTAGAATTAGAATCCCATTTTCTAATCCTGTCAACCCTACCTCACAGTGAGTAAGTGGCAGAGCTGGGATCTTGAACGCAGGTAGATTTTTGGCTCTAGAGACCCCACTTGTCTCAGCTCAGGCTGCTGTAACAAAATACCAGAGACTGAGTGATTTAAACAACAGACATTTATTTCTCATAGTTCTGGAAGCTGGGAAGTCCAGTCAAGGTGCCTGGTGAGGACCTTCTCTCTGTGTCCTCACATGGGAGGAGAGAGTTTAAAAGTGAGCCTGAGCAGGCTCTGGTCTTCCTCCTCTTATAAGGACATTAATCCCATCACTGAGGTCCTACCCTCATGTCCTCATCTAAACCTAGTTACCTCCTGAAGGCCCCATCTTGGAGGTTAAGGTTTCAACTTATGAATTTCAGGGGGACACAAACATTTAATTCATGGCACCATTTTTATCCACTATGCTAAGCTGTATCTTCATACTTTGAACATGATTCTTTTTGAGTGCCATTAAACCCATTGCCCTTGTTGGTAATTTTTTTTTTTTTTTAAACTAGCCTCCAGTGTCTCTTTAAGGCAGGGATTATGTTTTCTTCATCTTTGTGTCCCTATAGTCTGACTTAATGCCTGGGACCCATTAGGCAATCACTACATATTTGAATGATTGAATAAATGCCATCCTCCAACCCGAGCCTCCTTCTGTGTCCTAATTTAAGAAATTGACGAAAATACTGAATCAGACCAGGACAAAGACTGATCCTGACAACTGAAAATTGAAATATAGTTAATTCATTAAAAGTTAATTTGGCGGAATTCCCTGGCAGTCCAGTGGTCACGACTCTGAGCTTTCTCTGCCGAGGGCCCGGGTTCGATCCTTGGTCGGGGAACTAAAATCCCATAAGCCTCGTGGCATGGCCAAAAAGAAAATAAAAAGTTGTTGTGTTGATTAGTTCTGGATCATCTTTCTTTATCTTTCTATATTCTCTTTAGGGTGGTCACAACTAGTCTCAGATTATGTTTTTGCCTCCTAAACTGTACACTCCACTCAGTACCTCTTACTTTGTCTTCCAGCTTACACATCCAGTACCTGCTTGACAAGTCTATGTGGGTCTCTCAGAGGCATCTCAAACTAAGCGTGCCCTAAATCGAACTTTTGATTTTACCCTCCTACCCAAACTTCCTGGTCTCAATAAATGGGACCACCCATCAGCCTAGTTTCTTAAGCTAGAGATGTAACAGTCATCCTTGATAGTTTCCTTTCCTGTATCTTCCACATGAATCCCATTTTCTAATCCTGTCAACCCTACCTCTAAAGTATATCTCATGCCAAGTTCTTTCTTCCATTTCTTTGTATCCATATGGCGACTCTAGTTAGACTAAGCCACCAACCATTACTTCCTTTGAGGACTGTTTGTAGCAATATCTAACAGGTCTCTTCTTTTCCCCCTATGCTTGCCTACAGTTTTTTTTCACAGACACCAGAATGAAAACTGGATCAAACCCTTGGCCTGTTAAAAAAATGTTGTTTCGAGTTACCTTTTTTTGTGTGTGTGGTGAGAACTTTTAAGATCTACTCTCTTAGCAACTTTATTTAGCCTCACCACACGGCATGCAAGATCTTAGTTCCCCCACCAGGGATCGAACCCATGCTCCCTGCAGTGAAAGCGCAAAGTCCTAACCACTGGACCGTCAGGGAATTCCTCGGAGCAACTTTTAAGTATACAATACAGTGTTAACTATAGTTGCCATGATGTACATTAGATCCCTAGAACTTCATCTTATAACTGGAAGTTTGTACCTTCTGATCACCTTTCACCCATCTCCATTTCCCCCTTCTCCGTCTCAAACCAACAATCTACTCTTCTCTTTGTTTCTATGAATTTGTCTTTTTTTTTAGATTCCATATATAAGTGAGATCATACAGTATTTGTCTTTCTCTGACTTATTTCAGTTAGTATAATGCCTTCACGGTTCATCCGTGTTGTCACAAATGGCAGGATTTCCTTCTTTTTTTTTTTGGCTGAACAATAGTCAGTTGTGTGTGTGTGTGTGTGTGTGTATATATATGTATATATATACACACACACACACCACATTTTTCTCTATTCATTCGTCCATAGACAGACACTTACTTGTTTCCATTTCTTGACTATTGTAAATAATGCTGCAATGAACATGGGAGTGCAGATATCGCTTCAACATAGTAATTTTTTTTCCTTTGAATATATACCCAGGAGTGGTATTGCTGGATCATATGGTAGTTCTATTTTTAATTTTTTGAGGAACTTCCATACTGTTTTCCATAGTGGCTGCACCAATTTACATTCCCACCAAGAGTGCATAAGAATTCCCTTTTCTCCACATCCTCTCCAACACTTACTTCTTGTGTTTTTTTGATATTAGCCATTCTGGCAAGTGTGAGGTGGTATCTCATTGTGGTTTTGATTTGCGTTTCTCTGATAATTAATGATGTTGAGCATCTTTTCATGTGCCTGTTGACCATCTGTATGTCTTCTTTGGAAAAATGTCTATTCAGGTCTTCTGCCCATTTTTTAATCGGATTGTTTGGGGTTTTTTTGGTTGAGTTGTATGAGCTATTTATGTAGTTTGGATATTAACCCCTTATTGGTCATATTATTTGCAGATATTTTCTCC